AAACACTCATTGAGGCAGTGACTCTGTAGACGAATAACTGAATCTGAAACAACGAAATCGAATTGACAACGATCCTTTGCAAGCTGATTTCTTTTTAAACGAGCGATATCGCTGAGCTCTGAAAGGGCGGCGGACACAGGCAGGAACTCCCCTGAGCACTGAAAGCCTGCCCTGAACGTTGCCACTTGGCACCTGACTACTGAGCCAGGAAGGCTACGGAGAAGCTGAGGGAGGGAGGGAGGAGGGAGGGGGAGGAGGAGGGAGCTCTTCCTCCTGAATCTGAAACCGAATCTGAAAATAATTTTGTTCTCGCAGCTCGCCAACTCTACTAAGAAAAGTGAAGATTTCTCCGGCGATTTGGCCCATTCTGCCAAGACATGACAGGATGTCTCAAGCGATTTTGTCGATTCTACTAAGAAGTGTAAGGGTGTCTCAGGCGATTTGGCCAACTCTAATAAGAAATGTGAGGATGTCTCAAGCGATTTGGCCAATTCTATCTAGAAATATGAGGATGTCTCATGCCAGTTTGCCAATTCTACTAAGAAATGTGAGGATGTCTGAAGCGATTTGGCACATTCTATTAAGAAATATGAGAATGTCTGATGCAATGTTGGCAAAGTCTACTAAGATATGTGAAGATATCTCTGGCGATTTGGCCAATTCTGTTCAGAAGTGCGAGAATGTCTCAGACGATTTTGCAAATGCTAATAAGAAGTGCGAGGATGTCTGAAGCGATTTGGACAATTCTATTAAGAAATGCAAGGATTTCCCATGCGATTTGGCCAATTCTATTAAGAAATGCGAAAATGACTTAGGCGAGTCGGCCGATCCGCCTGGTCGCCGTCGCCGTCGCCATCGCCGTCTCCTCCTCCTTTTCCTCCTCCTCCTCCTCCTCCTCCTCCTCCTTGTCCTCCTCCTCCTCCTAGCCACAGGTGCCCAAATAACGCTTCCAGGGTGCGGGACGGTTATCGTTTCGCCGGAAGGGGGGGGGGGGTGCTTCTTCGGGTTATGATCGGCGATGGGCTCCCGATACAGGAAGAAGGGAAGGCGACACCAACACCACCAGGGCGGGGAGGTGCGAGGAGCAAAGGGGGGTCTCCCTTGCGGCGTGGTCGCCCCCTCTCGCTCGAGGCATCCCCCGCCTCCAGCTCGGGGAGGCCTCGTGGACCTCCCCTCTGGAGTGGGCGCCCCCGGTGCTGTCGGTGCCGCTGCTCCTCCCTCCGGCCGGCGGCGAAGCCGCACGATGCCGGGTGGGGCGGGGCGTCGGGCCCCTGTCGGCGATGAGCGGGCGCTTGGGGGCGGGGAGGAGGAGGAGGGGGAGGAGGAGGAGGAGGAGGAGGAGGAGGAGGAAAAAGGAGGAGGGGAGTAGGAGGAGGAGGCGGAGGAGGAGGGAGGAGAGGAGGAGGAGGAGGAGGAGGAGGAGGAGGAGGAGGAGGAGGAGGAGGGGAGGAGGAGGAGGAGGAGGAGGGAGGAGAGGAGGAGGGGGGAGGCAGGGGAGGAGGAGGAGGAGGAGGAGGAGGAGGAGGAGGAGAGGAAGGAGGCCCGCTAAGCCCATCCCCTCCCTCCCCGCGTCGGGCGTTCACTGATGGGGGGGGCGCCAGATGGGGGGGTGAGAAGGGTGCACCTCTCGTGCACCTTGCGTACCCCTCCGGGGCCCGAGGGGGGCTCGTCTGGGGCCCCTCTCGTGCAACCCTCGACGCCCCCCCCCCATGTTTTTTATCGCCCCCCCATGACCGAGCGCCCGCCCCGCGTTGCTCCTCCGGATTTTCGGGTCCCAGCTCCCGGCTCCCCCGCGATCGCCCGGGACGGCGCCCTCGGCGAGACGCAGCTGCTGGAGAACGGCCCGAGGCTAGCAAACCCAAGGAGAGCCAGAATCGAATCGACAAGTCGGGTCGGCGATCGAAAGAAATCGGATCGGCGGAAATCGGCAGCCGAGTCGGGAGAAATCGATTGGGCAGGCCTCGGCAGGCTAGTAGGCCTCAGTTGAGAAGTCGAAGCCCAAATCGGAATCCGAAGTCGAAACGGACCGGAATTGGAAGCCATCGAAATCGCATCAGATCGAAATGAGCCCTGAAACCCGCCGAGAGCTGACGAGAACGTCCGAAACTCTCCCCCAGGGAACATGTATAGTTCATGTCTTTATAGATACGCATATGGAGATGCATGTATACAAACATATATTTGTATATATATATATATATATGTGTATGTGTATAGGTGTACATACGCATGTGATCATACACACGTAGATGTATGCATACATGTATGTGTATATGTATATATGTGTAGCTGCATGTGTATATACAGTTGTGTATGTAAGTGTATGTGCATGTGCATATGTATAGGTATATGTATGTTAACTTGCATGCGCAGGTGTAAACGTATGTACAGGTGCTTGTGTATATGTGCATGTGACACCTGTGTAAGCGGATGTATGACACAAGTGTAGATGCGTAGATGTAGATGTTTGTGTACTCGCATACGCATACACACAAATCTTCGCGCGCACACACATACATATATATATATATATGTGTGTGTGTATATATGTATGCATGTATAGATGTATATGGGTATACGTGTGTACTTGCATGCGCCATTTTCTGTATTTTCTGGCCATGCCGCCAGGGGCCTTCTGAGCACCGCTGGGGGCGCTCAGCGCTCCAGGGACGGGGTGCCGAGACTGCCCCAGTCTCGGCACGGGGTGCCCTCCATTCAAGGGTGCGCCCCCCTATGGTAAGAACATTGGATATCGGATGCGGAACCCTTGGACAAGGAGCCCAGGGGTCTGGAAGCTGGTGGAGCACCACCTGAGGCCTGACCATGGCTATCCCCGCCGCCCTCCTCGGATCAGGATCCCTCAAGGATCCGACGCCTCCTGGGCACAATCCTTCGCGAACGCCCCCCCCGTGCTGCAGCGTGGCCAAAAAAAAACACCACCGGAACCCTGGACCACACCGCTCCGGAGGGGGAGGAGGAGGAGGAGGAGGAGGAGGCGGAGGAGGAGGAGGAGGAGGAGGAGGAGAAGGAAGGAAGAGGAGGAGGAGGAGGAGGAGGACGGAAGAGGAGGAGGAGGAGGAGGAGGAAGAGGAGGAGGGAGGAGGGAGGAGGGAGGAGGGAGGAGGGATCGATCCGCGGAGGTCCCCGGGCCCGACAGGCCGCGAGGCCTCCTGGTGCGGAAAGCATGCGACGGCAGAATCTCGGGGAAGGTAAGCCCCCTCTTCTGTAATGCGGGATGACGATTAATTAACAAATGGGAGGAACGATAAGACAGTTTTCTGCTATTTCTGCACAATTTTCTGACTGGAGGAGAACGATTAAAACATAATGTTCCATCCCGCGGCCGGTTTTTTCTAATCGTCATCCTGGGCGCCGCCGCGTGAACACGACCCCCGGTCATTCATTAATCGTCATCCTCCATTATACCCTTCCCGACCTTTGCGTGTCATCCTTGCGCAGGGGCCATGCTAACGTTTTCTGTATCGTTCAATTTGGACGCATGATCCCCGAAGGGAATCTAGAGGATGTGAGCCCTCTCTGGGCCCTGACCATGTGGGTCCCTGCCAACTGGGGGTACCACTGTGGCGCGCGCCACAGTTTCTGCCGGCCGTGGGAGGGCTGCCAGACCAGCCCAAGAGAGCGCAAAGAGGCCACCAAGAACATACCAAGAGGCCCCCATAACGGCCGCAGAGCGCGGGCCAGTGGGCTTCAGGCCATGACTTGACGCTGAAGTTGGCCCACAAGGCCCTCATATGGCACCGCGATTGCCCTAGATAGCCAAGTTGACTGCAAACGTGGCGCAAGATTCCAGGTGAGCGTTTTCTTGTTCCTCGTTTCGACGTTGTGCGGAGGGGGAGGGGAGGGGGGGGTCTGGCTCCGGACCTCTGCTTAGTGCGACTGTTTGCAGCAGTGCGTCCTATGGGAGAGACCCCACCTGCCTCAAACAGGAGCCCAAAACAGCCAAGATCTACTCCATTGGGCGGGGGGGTAGGGGTGGGGGGGTGCGAGGGCCCGCGCCGATCGGCAAAAACCAAAAAGCCTCGCCATCTATCGGGCGGCCGACGTCTACTTCCACCGCCAAGGCCACGCTAACGGCGATGCTGCTTAACGGTGATGTTGGGAACCAACTTGTAGGACATCACGATCCACACTCTCCTACACTTCCAGTGTGCAAATGCATCAAGCAAAAACGACACAGCGAATGGTAGGAAGGTGCGAGCCACGCGTTCCCACAATACCGAAACCTACATCGCCGTTACCTACACCGCCGTCAGCGTGCCTACTGCACCGGCTTCCGCCGGCGGAGGCGCCCTCGTGTTGCTTGCGCCGGCGCTCCGCCGAAGAAGGGACGTCAGCTCCCTCGACCCGCGACGGCGAGGCCCACTCTTTCGAGCGCCTCCTGCGAGGCTGGTGGCGAGCCTCCCTATGCACGATCAGTGTGAGGGATTGGCCAGGGTGGGGGCGGGGACGCATGCACACCTTCCCACCAGAGCCGTAGGTGGACCTCCCAAGAAGGGTCAGGAAGCATGCGAGGGGTACGCCAGGATGCGCGCGAAAGCGCATGCCAAATTCCCCACCAGGGGCGAAATTGGGGCTCGTGCGAGGGGCGTGCTACACTTTCCCGCCGAGGCCGTAGGTGGAGCTCCTTACGGGGCCACGGTCCTCGTGATGGGGTGCGCGCGACATGGGCAGTGGCGCCCTGCAGACCCTGAAACTGGGGCCATAGGTGGAGCCCCCTATTGGGGCACGACATTCGTGGCAGCGGCGCCGAAACGGACGGCACAAACATGCGGACCCTTCCACCCAGGCCGTTTGCGGAGTTCCTTGCGAGGGGCGCGACCACATGTGGGCGGTGGCGGTGGCGCCATGCATCGGCTCCAACTAAGACTGAAAAGGGGGCTCCCTAAGGGCCGCGAAACGTGTGAGAGGTGTGCCGACATGGACGCGGTGCCGCCATACGTCGTTACCCACTGAGATTGCAGGTGGGGCTCTCTAAAGGGCACGAAACGTCTGAGTTTATTTTGCCTGAACCCATGGACGAGCTGGAGCTCAAGAAACAGCCCCAGAACGAATCTCATAGATCATTAAACAATCGCCCGCGCTGCCGCGCTGAGAACGCCAGAGACGCGCTGGACAAGCCCGGATGGCCGTGCCGGCGGACGCCGAACTCTCGGCGTGCGCAAGTGTCAACTGGCTCGCCAGGCGTGGGTATCTACAGGCTGGCGCGCCTGGACGACCGAGCGCCAGCAAGCCTCGCAGCCAACACACTCAAAACAAACACATGGCACGACCCCGCGCGCCAGCGGCGCCCGGGTCCCGGCGGCGGCCCGACACTGGAGGACAACGAACGGTATACGAGCCGTGGCCCAGGCCACGAACGTTGGTCCCGGGGTCATGGGGCGCTTGGACATGGGGCCGCACACCGCAGTTGCAATAGGTTGCTGCGCGGAACTACTGCGCGCAACTATTGCGCGCCACTGTCGCGAACTGTTGCGCCCACGGGCTCAACGATTGCGCAATATTGCATGGCCAGACGCACCTAGTGCATCGTGGCAGGCCAACTATTGCAAACGATTGCTCGCAAAAAAGCGAAATCACATACTATTGCATCGCAGAGGTAAACTATTGCGCTCGCGCGAGCGAACTACTGCACCCCGACTATTGCACGAGGCACCGTACGATGTATGTGATCGCTTCCAACTATTGCACGAACTATTGCGCGCACTTTTTGCGGCCCCATTTCCAAAGACCCGATTATCCCAGTCTACGAGCTGTGGCCAAAGCCCCGGAGCCTCGACGGCCTCATGGCCAGCCTCTGTCTGCCTGGCTCAAAACGTACGCGGCCACGTCCGTGATCTCTGCTTCCCCCAAGCGCTCGCCGAACGCGGGCATCGCGTTCTTCCCGCTCTTCACCAGATCGACAATCATGCCTGCGTCATACATGCCGTACTTCACGAGGGCCTCTCGGGAAACCACACATGTACCGATGCCGCTGCTCCCCGGACCTCTCCCGGGGAGCGTTCGGGCCAGAATTTCGAGGCGAATCCAGCGGTGGCGACGAGGGCCTCCCAGGAGGCCCAACAAGGCGAAAACGAGGGAAGGGTAGCGGTGTGGGCACCTTCCTCCCTCTCTGAGCCTCCTTCCTCAGCCCCTTGTCGGGCTGCATCACCGTGCTGCCACCGGCGTGGCACGCGGCACAGTTCCCGACGAACACGCCCGCCCCGCTCCCCACCTCGGCGGCTCAAAGGTGGGGTCCCGAGGGACGGCGCCCTGAGGACGAGGTGCCCCGAAGAATGCGTAGATCCACCCTGTGGGCCCCTTGCCACAGCCATCGTGCCGCCGCGGGGAGCGCACCACGAGGAGCGGAGGGACCTTTCTGGCCCCTGCAGGGCCCGGGCGAGGGCCGGGCCCCCCGCCACGCGCCTGGAGGGCGGCCCGGAGGCGCCAGCCCCTCCCGATCCTGCGGCGGTCCTCACGGCAGCGGCTTTGGCCGCGCCCCTCGGGCCCCCTCGAAGGCCAGCGCGTGCTCTGCTCCGGCCCCCCCCGCGCCCCCGAATGCCCCAGTGTCCGTGGACGCGCGCAGCGCGGCCCGTGGGCTCCATCGAGGAGTTGCAGCCGCCGGCGTCGGCGTCAGCACTGAAGTGGGGGGGTCCGGGGGTCGTGGGGAAAAACGTGCGTCAGACGTCGAGGGGGGATGCAGGATCCCATCCCTCGGGACCTTGGCTGCCCCGACACGCCACACGCAACACGCAGCGTATTTGACACGGAGCTCAACACGCAGCCTGAACACGCAGGTCTGACGCGATGCGTTCGCCAAAACGCGGGCCAGCACGCTGAGCCAGCACGCAACGCATCGACACGGACGCTTTGAGCACTGCACGTGTTGCGCTTCAACACGGGCGTATCCGGCCAGCTAAGCTAGAAGAGCCACAACAGCGGCACGGACAGAAACTTTTGGCGCTCCGCGCGGAGCGCCAAGAGTTTCTGCCTATGGTGCTCTGCCTTCTTCGGTAGGCTCGAGGCCCCGCCCTTGGGCCGCCGACCACCGACGCAGGCGCGCCCTCGCCGGCAGCCCGCGCCGCCGCCGCCGAGGCGGCCACGCCCACCGCCAGAGCCAGGGCCGCGGCGCGCAGCACGGCGCCCGCAGCCCAGCCTGGCGCGGCCGCGGAGGCCTCGCGGCCTCGTGGGGAGCCTCCGCCGGGCGGCGGCCCCTCTCGGACACGAGGGGCAGCGATATAAGGGGGTCCTGTGGCGCGTCGACGCGGAGCGCAACACACGCAGAGCTGAAAGGCGTGCCTCTGGCGCGGCACGCTCGCCAGCACGCGGGCCAGCACGTGGAGCCAAGACGCGGCGTACAGTCGGGGCGTTGACCTAAGGAACCCTAAACAAGGAACGGGGCCCCTATTTTCCATACGTTGAACTTCGATGTCCCATGGGAAACCTCAGGAAAACAGGAGGCAAACTGCAGAACAATCAAGGAACACCGAGCCCCTCCCCAACGAAGAGGATTCCTTCTGCAGGGCCCCGGCTGTATGGACACGGACGTTGTGAACGCGGCACTCGTTGCGGTTCAAAGCGTGCGTGTCTGGGCGGCCAAGCAGGGTCTTGTTTCCAGCGGGGCCCCGAGGTGAGCCCCCAGATGGGCTGAAGGCAGCAGCGGCGCTCGTGGGCCACTGCTGCAGAGGCTTAGCGGGCCACGCGGTCCCCGCAGCCGCGCCTCCTGGGGTGACCCCCGCGTGTAGAGAGTAACAATGGGGGCGATGGAGGGAGGGCTTGAAAGGGGGGGGGGGGGCGGCTCAAGAGGGGGGGCGGCTCAAAGGGAGGGCGGCTCAATGGTGGGGAGGGCGGCTCGAAGGAAGGGATGGGGGCGGCTCGAAGGGGGGCGGCCCAAGAGGAGCCGGGTAGAGGTGGGGGGGGGGGGGGGGGGGCGCGGCTCACAGGGGGGGCGGGGAGGCGGGAAGCATCGGCCCGGGATCAGCGATGCACATCGCCGATGGCTCGGGGAGCGACATGCGCCCAGACGGTGGTGCACCGATGAGGATCGGGCTCGGGGGGCCCCTGGATGGCCGAAGGATGGCCAGCAGTGGAGGGACCACAGAGGAGCGAGGCCTCCAGGGGCACACGCTGTATTATAGGTCGGGCGTGCCCTCCTGCGGGCGGAGCTTGGAAGAAAAAACAAACACATCGTCAACACATGCTCAAACATAGTCAGAAAAGAAAGACACATCGTCACTGGACTATTTTGTTTTATCATTATTGAATCCTCCTACTGTAGAGGGGCATGCCCGATTCAAACGTCGTAGACATCGGGGGCGCGCAAGCATGGATGAGCGATCCATGGATTTGGCGCGGGTTCACCAAATCGATGGATCGGGGGAGGTGCCCTCCCCAAACTGCAGCCGGTGCCGCCTCGTTCGGCGGCTGAAATCCGCGATTTCCATGGAAACGGGACCCGTCGCTGACCCACGCCCCCTTGGTCCATGTTTGCGATGGCATCCTTGGGACCCCCTTTGTCACGATACGGGCTGCGATATGTATGTTATTTGGGCACCCTTCCTGGGAAGTAGCAGTCCGCAAGCATACTGTCTAGCGGCTAGCGCTCGCGCCATTGCTCACGTGCCTCCGGACGCGCGGTCTGTGTGATTTAGGGAGCCAGCTGGGGCCCAAAAGGGGCCCGAAGGGCCCTTTTCGGGCCCGCCCCCCCTCATTTATTAGGTCACCCACCTCCCATTACCACCCGCCCGAGATGAGCCAGCCACCCGCCAGTGGGGCCTCAGTGCCCACCTTGTTCGGCGGGGGGTGGCGGGGGACCGCTGGGGGGGGGACCAGCTAAAGGGGGGGGGGGGGGGGACATCGACATGGAGTCGGCGATGCGTCGCCGACAGATCGGGGACAGGCCCCAGATAGCGAATCCGCACGTGCCCAGGGCAGGGATGGCTGATCAGGGTCCCCGATCGGCGATCAATGGGCGATACAGTTAACCTGTATCACGAGGACGCACGAGAAGGATGGAATGGCCTTGGAAAACCACTCCGAAACTTCTCGGGCGGGGCGCGGCCAGCAAGAGTGGCCGGGGACGGGCGGAACGGGGGAAAGGATGCAGGGGTACCCCTTGGAAAGGTGCCCATCCTCATGATGCGGGCTGACTGTAGAGGGCCGATGCGTCCCCCCTGACTTGCCGTCGCTCGGACGTCCATTTCCTGTGCATTTGTCGGTTTCGTGTTTTTTTTTTTTTTGTTTTTCTCCCCGATGGTCCAGGGTGGTCCTCGCTGGTTCTCGCCGAAGAAAAAATGCACACGTCCGAGCGGTGCCAAGCTAAGCCCATCCCTCTCCCCCGAGCGCTTCTTTCCTTGGTCTCCAGGCCACGGCCCGGCTCTCGGGCGGCCGCCCGGCACGCGGCGAACGCCCCCCTTCGCGCGAGCTCTCGGCGAGGCGCGGCCGCGGAAGGCACCCCAAGGCTGGGAAAACCGCCGAAGGCCTGACGAGCGCGTCCGAAAGCCGCTGCCCCCAGCGCGAAGGCAGCGGAGAGCGACCAGCAGAGGCAGGTTCCCCAGTCGGTTTGGGTCAGGTGCTGCGGCCCGCAGAACTAGAGGTGTATATGTGCACATACACATACATGAACATATACATATACACGCATCTATAGTTATATATGTGTATATGTGTGTATGTATGTATGTATGTATGTATGTATGTATATGTGTATAAATGTATGTATGTATGTATGTATGTATGTATGTATGTATGTATGTAGGTATGTATTTGTATATGTATAGTTGTGCATATGTGTGTATTGATACACAACTATGTACATATATGTATGGTTGTGCATATGTCTATATATATTTATAAGTATCATAAAACCCATAGATGGTCAGCCGTCCACCCCACAACACCCATTCTTACCAGCATTCACTTACGACGGCGGGGTTATTCCTTTTCCTCCTTCTCCTCCTCGTCATTCTGTATTAATGCCAATATCTCTCTCTCTCTCTTTCGTTATTTTGTTTCGATCTCTCTCTCTCTCTCTGTCCATCTCTGTCTCTCTGTCTCTCTCTGTCTCTCTTTGTCTCTCTCTCTCTCTCCCTCTCTGTCTCTCTGTCTCTCTCTCTCTATATCTCTCTCTCTCTCTCCCTGCCTCTCTCTCTCTCATGCCCTTTTCTCCCTCTACCCCTCTCTCGCTCACTTGTCTGTTTTCGCTCTCTCTCTCTCTCTCGCCCCTCTCTCTCTCTCTCTTTCTTGTTCTCTCTCGCTCTCTCTCTCTCTCTGTCTCTCTGTCTCTCTCTCTCTCTATATATATATGTGTGTGTCCCTGCTTTGTTGTGTTTCTTTCTTTTGCTCGCTCTCTCTCTCTCTCTCTCTCTCTCTCTCTCTCTCTCTCTGACCCCCCCAGGCACCCAACACAATCCCTGAGAAAACGCACGGTTTGCGATGTCAGGGGTGCAGCATTGGGATGTTTTTTTTTCTGGGATGGGCAAAGAAAGAGCAATGCGTTTTCATTTGGGTTTGTTGGATCTCTCCCCCCCCCCACACGAAAATACAAGCCCTCCCAGGAGCTCCGATCCCCAGAACCCCAAAAATCATCAACATCTAATCAACACGCATGGCTTCCTCACTGTGTATCCTAGAATGTTCAAACATCCCAACGGAAGCGCAGGGTTTGCGATGTCAGGTTTGCGGAACCGCGTGTTTTCTTTTAGATGTTTGGGATTGCCTGGATGCTAAGTCAGGAAGCCATATGTTTCATTTTTGTTCTGGGGAGCCAGCGGGAATCCAGACCAGGAGCCTTCCCATGAACTCCCCCCCCAAGAGCACATGTTGCCTACGCGTGCGACGTTGCCCGCCGCGCGCACTCTCGAAAAAATACCCACGGCTTGTCGTCGCCTCTCGGGGTGCGAACTATCATCCGCGCCATCTTCCGCCAGATCGAGCGCAACATGCGACGATTCCGCAATCCGCACGCTCAGTGTCCAACACTCGCATCCGTATATCGCCGCTGGCGTGACCACGGCGCCACAAACAATTCAACCTGGACCGAAGGGGGTAGGATCTGAAAGAAAGCACCACCCGTCACCTCGGAAAGCAAGGCCATGATGCATTCATCCTGTTAGAGAACCCGGCATCGTGATAACTGCCAAAGCAAAGGCGCCGCCCAAAATGCTTCTCACACTTCGCTGGTGAGATTACGTCCACGTCAGCGCCTTCTACTTTGATGCAGGAGGGCAACAACAAGTTGGCACCCGTGATCATATTCGTCATCCCCACCTGCACATCAAAACCCAAAATTCGCTGTCCCTTGTTTCAGATCCGCCGGCATTGTGGAAACGTCCGATTTGTTCACAACGATCAATAAAACAGCACCTGCGAAAACTGAGGTTCGTGAAAGGGTCTTCCGGCGTGCCCACCACCACTCCGTAATAACATCCTTTTCTCCGCTGGTTGATGCCACTCCACCGCTTTTCGAGATTTCGAAAGCAAGCTGCCATCACGGCTATAGCAAGATTTGCGCTGATAGGATCGCCCTGTTTGGTTCCACGGGATAACGTAAAACTCCTCGTTGCACTCCCAGCAGAGACCGATGCAGTTACAACTTCGGGCGAAGCGCAATATACCCTTCACCCAAATGCAGACTACGAAACAAATCCCACAGACTCGCGTGCTCAACCGCACCGAACGCCTCCTCGGAATCCACTAATCCAAGCCATAGGTCCTGGGTCCACTGCGCGTAACCCTCCGCAAGCAAGGTGGTCGACAGTATGTGGTCAATCGTTGACTACCCCCTCCTGTACGCTGTTTGGTCCAGCGGCTGCTGCGAGATGATATTCGCTTCTAGGCGAACGCGTAGTATCCGCGCAACAAGGTTATAAAGACATCTTATATTCCGACTGGGCGGTTGAACACATCCACTAGGCGCATTCTTTCCTAGTGGCCGGCATGTCCGCGTCTGCCTGCGGGATGTCATTGAACAATATCAACGTGGCTTCTCGGAGAGGTCGCCCGCTATATTTGAGCATCTCCGCAGCTACCTCCGATTCGTCACAACATCGACCGCACTTTCTATGAGATCGTGCTTCCTCGAGCTCCGTTCCGTCATCGTGAAGTCAGGAATTGGCGCGGCCCAGATAATACCACCATTGTCTGGACGCAACGCGGAATATAACTTCTCATAAAACTGAACGAAAACTTGTGCGATCTCGTCCTTCGATACGTGTCCCGTCGCTACATGTTCCGTGCCTCCTCGTCGACGATACTCGCTATGTGTGTCTTCTGCTGCAGGCGCCCTGCACATGGCATGGAAAACAAGCCACGGAAGTCGTCAAGGAGTGACTCAGTTGTTGCTTTCTTCTCGTCCCTGAGTCTGCGGGAGACTAGCTTCCTGATGCGCTTGCTAAGATACACACCATGGTGCTTCTTCTCCGAAGGGGTCAGGTCGCTTTGTTGCCTGAGGTGCCAGCGCTGGCGGATCAGATCGTCTATCTCTCCCTGCCCCGTGCGGCGTGACATCGACTTCTGAGTTTTCGGTACCGCCGTCGCGAGGGCATTCACCATCGCTTTTTCAAAGTAGGGAGCTCGTTCCGACGACTTTAGTTCGTTCAAGCCAATCCTCGCGAGGCCGGCATCCAGCTTCGCATCGTACATCTTCGTATATGTATCAGATTCCCATTTCAAGATTCGTTTCCTGGTGGACTTACCCTTGTGGTTTGATGCAACACTGAACTGCAATCGAACTGTCCTGTGGTCAGAGCCTGGGTCGAACCAGCTTGAAACTCCAGATTTGCAGATGTCTCTATTGTGATTCCTTCCCACAGATACATAATTGAATTGTTTGCGCAAACACAAATTCGAATACGGTCGGACCTAAGACATAATAACATCCTTCAAGAACATGAGAACCTCCGCCGGCCAAATCACCCCGAACCATAGAACCACTCGATGATACCCTCCCCCGGGATGCACAAGAACATCGAGCAAGCACAAAGAACATCAGGGTGCCATCTCCGAAACGACCTTGGGCTTACACCTCGGTCCGACCGTACGTCCATTAATCGTCGTCTTGATCGTCGGTGGAAGTGCTGGGCGACAGAAGCCGACAAGAACGCACCATTGGAACAACAACTCCCCTCTGAAATTTCGAACCCGGATGTTACGTGAGCCCCTCGTGCCATCGTCTTCATCCGCCGTCTTCATCTGCAGCGCGTGGCCCGACTTCCGCATCTGTCATCGTCTTCACCTGCAGGCTGCAGAGCCCCGGAGGACCGACGAGCGCGCCCGAAGACCTCGAGCCTCGAGCCTCGAGGCCGCAGCTTCTCCCGGCCCTGCCGTCGCACCCCGTGTCCAGCCCCCCCTTTTGTCGTTGCCCCTGGCACTGGAGGAAGGAACGCCTACACACGAACATAAACTTGTGGAGCTCCGCGCGGAACTCTCGGATCTGCGGTGGCCCAGCGCGAGATCCACGAAATCAGCGCGGAGCGCAAGCAGCTCATGTTTATGCTGCGTTGTCTTATTCGAACCTCGAAGGCACTGGGCCCTGTCGTCGCACCCTGCGCCCACCCACCCCCCCCTTATCGTTGCCCCTGGTATCCTCCCCCTCCTTGAGGGCCCTCCAGGAGGACATCTTGGAGGCCACTTGGGCCGTCTTGGAGGCCTCTTGGGGGCCTCTGGGGCCGTCTTGGGCTGTCGTGGATGCTTCTTGGGCGAACTTGGACGCATCTTGGACTCTTCGGGGCGGTCTTGGAGGCCATCCCCAGACATGCGACGTCCTCACTTGTCCATGCGGGGTCCCTGGAAGAGGCCCAGCGAGGACCCCCCCGAGGCCGAAAATGGCCGACAAACCTCCCGTCCTGATTTTTCAACGACGCGATCATGTCTGGGCCACATTTCGGGGCCCCCCAACGCTGCCCCCGAGGACGGAGCCCACGGACGAGTCCGCAGCCGCGGACGTCTGGGCCGACCGCGCCGGCGGCTCCCGCGTCCCGAGCGGCGCGAAGGCTCTCCGGGCCGGCGCCAGCGCCAGGAGCGCCGCCGCCGTGCCGAGGAGGGCCACCGGGCGCCGCATGTCGTTGCCAGCAACACGCGAGAGAGCCGACGCGGATTGTGAGGGCGCCGCATGCGGGGCTCCTCCTCCTCCTCCTTTCTTTCCCTCCTCCTCCTCCTCCTCCTCTCCTCCTCCTCCCTCCTCCTCCTCCTCATCCTCCTCCTCCTCCTGCTCCTCCTCCTCCTCCTTCTCCTCCTCCTCTTACCTCCTCTTCCTCCTCCTCACCTCCCTCCTCCCCCTCCTCCTCCTCCTCCTCCTCCTCCTCCTGCTCCTAGTTTTTCTCCTCCTTCTCTCCTGCTCCTGGTTTTTCTCCTCCTCCTCCTCCTTCTCCTCTTCTCCTCCCTCTCCTCTCCTATGCCCGCTTGCTCGTCGTCTCTCCCCCACCGCCGCCTCGCTCCGCCTCCTCCTCCTCGGCCTCCGTGCTCCCTCCTGCGCCCTCTGCTCCTCATCATCCTCCTCCTCCTCCTCCTCTCCTCCTCCTCCTCCTCCTCCTGCTCCTCTCCTCCTGCTCCTCCTGACCATTTTCCTCCTGCTCCCTGCTCCGTTCCTCCTCTCCTCCGCTCCTCCTCCTCCTCATCCTCCTCAGCCTCCTTTCCTCCTCCTCATCTTCCCTCCAGGCCGCCATCGCTCCGTTGGTCTGAATAGTCCTCCTCCGCCTCCTCCTCCTCCTCTTCCTCCTTCTCCTCCGCCTCCTCCTCCTTCTCCGCGTCTTTCCTCTCCCCTCCTCCTCTTCCTTCTCCTCCTCCTCCTCCTCCTCCTCCTGCTCCTGCTCCTGCTCCTCCTCCTTCTCCTCCTCCTCCTCCTCATCCGCTTGCTCCTCCTGCTGCTCCTCCTCCTCCTACTCCTCCTCATCATCGTCATCATCACCACCACCACCACCACGACCACCACCATCATCATCATCATCATCATCATCATCATCATCATCATCAGCATCATCATCATCATCATCATCATCATCATCATCATCATCATCATCATCATCATCATCATCATCATCAGCAT